TTTATAAAGAAACTGGAATACAGATAAAATTCCCGATAAAATGAGTAATTATAATTCCAGTCATTTGCAAGGAATGCATGACTGAAAAGACGGCGCAAGCACTCGCCCGTGCGTGCAGAGACTTATTTGCATATTTAGTCGCTGTTTCTACTATAGTGGCTAGTAGTTGGAATTATGTGAAAGATCTCTAATAAATCACTAATTACTCACTTGAATCTCGAGCTCTCTGTCCATATTTTATTGATTGTTCCGTAAATCTCCGATGAATAAACATAAAGTCAGGTTTTTTTACCCCCTTTCCTTTGATAAAAGTCGCCATCTTGATCTTTCTTATTCATGAGCCTTATTAGGAAAGACGTAAATAAGTGGGTACAATTTCATCGTGCTATCATTGATGCCAGATGATGGCACGCCATCTCCATATAAGGAAACCACCCTGTCCCTTCATCTATATAAGGAAACCACCCTGTCTCTTCATCTATATAAGGAAACTACCCATGTCCCTTCATCTATATAAGGAAACTACCCTGTCCCCACCATCTAAGCAAGAAAAGCAATGCCCATTTGTTTTCACAATTTTCTAGGGTTTTTCCTGAACATACTGAATCGAATTATTGGAAGCATTTTTCTCTTGTTCAACAGATTATTTTGGCAAGGGATTTTTCTTATAAATGAATTATAAATGTAGCTGACCTCACTATCTGAAGAATATGAACGAATTGAATCCCCCGTTCCTGAGCCCTGAGTATTTTTAGGTTTAATCCATCTTGTTATTTCACCAGAATCAATTGTATTTAGTGGCCGGGAAAACCAAAAATGAGGCCGGTATTTAGATGAATCTTGAAGGGAGCGGGGGTAGTTTCACCAAATCAACTCATAACTTCTTTTTTGAGATTTTTGAAAAACAATTTCATTGGTTAAGAAAAGCCATGCCTCCAGAAGATAATCATAAGCTTATCCAATATTTTATGTTTGACAATGTAACATAGGGAACATTTAGGCCATTWTCTATCAGCTGAGCTTCCATGAAAACGAATTCAGGAATGAGACCAGTCAAAAAAGGTAGTTTTGAGATGAATAATTCAACTCTCTTAGTTAAATTCAGTAAAATTCCTCAGTGGTTTCTGCAGTTTGTCATATTGAAACACTCGTGCCCCACGTTTGTGTGCGCTTTTTTTCCATTAAAAAAATGTTTATTCAGATCTGCGGTCTTTGTTTGGGRCACCTTTTTCAAATGGAATCCTGACAATCTTTGTAATATCTGGTTTTCTAATTGGCTGGGATTTGATGGTCTTCACGTCTCGCTATGTGATTGGTTGACTGTGATCAATCTTTTTCTTTAATGATTGATTGACAGTGGAAGTCCTTTAACTGTCATGTTCTCGTTCTCTTCCTCACTGACGTGATATTTTCATTAGTATTCGGATTAATATTTTTAGTTTAGATTCTTATGAGAAATGAACCAGATGCATGAAGTAAATCAATATTCTAAGAGGTTTCTGTCATCCGGTATCTTCTCTATTCTTCACGGTCGTGAAGTGAACGGAAATGAAAACAGACTCTAGGCGTCAAAGTTGTTGTTCTTGTGCAAACAGCAGGAATCCTGATTTATTATATTATCAAATCATTTGCAATTTATTTTTTCAACTCTCCARCCTCTTCCAGTAGTATTTGTACCCTATAGCACTAATATGAGATGTCTGCCTGGTCTCGTGTGTTGCAAACACACAGGGTCTTATGGCAAGAAAGAAGTCTTACTAAGTATTTTCATCCTAGAATATAGGTACCCACAGCCATAAACGGCATGTGTACATTATGTTTAGATTTAAAGCGGCATTTTTTTCCGAGCGCACTCAAAGCTCTGATAAGACAAACTATGTTTTTTAACAGCCAGCCAATCAGAGAACAGGTAATAAATATCTCAGCTAGTATTGGTATCGTAGCACAAAAAAGCTAGTCGTCAGATTTGTTATCACGAATTGTTTATGAAGGAAGACTTTTGAGACTGAGTTTTGGCTGAACTTTCTTGATTGCAAAAGGGTTTTYCCACTTCAGTAGTCATGCTATACAGAAGTCATTTGGCAAAAAGTGTATTCAAAATTATAAAGATGCACTTAGACTAGATCTATACACAGCCTATACCATTCATGAAAKAGTCGTTAAAAAAAACTTGAGGACCAATATAGGATATCTTGATTATACTTGTGTAAGGGTAATAAGCTTCGACGGCGAAAAGCCATAGTGGCATCAATCACTGTATAACGTAGATTTTAATGAAAGAATGGAATTGTAAAAGAATAGTTTTTCTGAATATATAGGCAGGTGCTGTGTTGGGATAGCAAATCGTTCTACTTGGAGAAGTATTACTGATCGAGTAATATCGACCTGGTTCGTATAAAACTCAGGATTCGAGTGTCTATGAAAAGCCAAAACAAGCACCAAGAAAACTTGACCTAGATAAAGAAAAAATGAAAAAGTATGAAAAGAATGAAATGAGCGAAAAACGAAAAAAACAAGTAACGAAAAAAACAATATTAAAATGAGAAGACTGAACTTAAATATAATTAAATGTATTAAAAATAATATCAAAAATAATGGGGGAAAATATCACCGCTAATTGATTAAAATGAAATGAAATATAATGAGAGTGTATTTATAAAAGGAAGTAAGAACAAGGAAGAATTGATTAAAAATAAAAAAATAAAAAAATAAAAATAAAAGAAAAAAACGAATCACATTTAATGGAATTGCAAATGAGAAATGAAATATAAATTAAAAGGGAACAATTCCAAATTGAGAAATTAAATGCGATAAAAAACATAAGAGAAAATCTCAAGCAAGAGAGCAAACTGAGTACTAAAGATTTCCCTAGAAAGCTTTTCCTGATACTTTAACGTGTTATCATTTTGAGCTCACCCAAACAGGCAATCAGCTTCATCAACAACAAGGATGTCTTGCTGAATCCAGCCACTATCACTAACTSTTTTCAAGAGCATTCCCATTATAAAGTCTTAAATCATTTTTTCTGTTTCAAGAAACTTCACAAGATTACTAAATGGCCAATTATTTACCAACCCTTCCGCACTTACACACTATCCTTTTATCAGTTATTATTTCACCACAAATGCACCAAAAATAAACTAAAAATGCTCAGAATAAATGTATTTATGATTTAATGGAATCCAACACATTAATGGCATTATTTCATAGTACTAATAAATTTCCTGGTCTAAAATCTTTTTTAACTGTCAGGKTTTTTTTTATATAAGTGTGTTTTTTTATTAATTGGTTTTATTACTGCGTTGAAAATGATTACGAGCATGCGTTGGAGAGGTAATTAATAAAAACTTCAAACTTCCAACTGTGGTAGAGTATTGACTGATATAGTTATATATGCGCAGATGACTGGCGTCATCAAGTACTTCATTTTTGATTACATGCTCAAAAGATACCTGTCAAAAGAACAGTTCTAAGGCGAAAGAGCCAACTGTTCAAAGAGTTCTATCTAGACCGACTTCACTAGACATCGTATCTCAGTGAGACTGAGTCGGTATGTATTTTGTATATACACACGAGCACTCAYGTGTTATTGAAGTTCTAAGTCATTGAACGGTTTTTTTGTACTTGACGAAAAGAAATCCGATTTGAAGGAGTGAATCAAAAAAACTCCACAATTAACTTGAAGAAGGAAAACACCTGTTACGTATGTATGGCAGCARTCAAGTTTTCGACTCAGTCACTACTTCTCTAACTTTCCTAACCGAGTCTCATCCTGAATATCTAAACAACAGATTAAAAACAAGCTATTAGGATCTTTTCCTTGAAAAGTTTTCTTTGAACACAGGTAAAGAGTAACGGGTTTCTCCTTAATTTTTAGAGTCTATAAATTCATTAGGTTTAAGAGATAAAAATAATGAAAAATTATCTCATCAAAACAACTCAAATTCYATGCATGCAAACTTATAGCTGCTTCAGTTTTCTCAGTATGAAATTTCAGTTTGTATATATCCAAAAAGCTGCTGATTTATCTTACAAAATACAACTGAGAAGCAGCAACTCTGGCTTTCGTCTAATCTAGACTTAGCCTAATCTAGTTTTCTTAAGCATCCAAATATTAAAAGAAATATCAATACATATGATGTTACCTGTAGTGAACGAACAAAGATATAATTTCAATCAGTCAAAAATTTAATTTTAGAAAAGGCAATATTTTTTCATCGGTTCAAGGTATCCAAACTGACAGAAATATGCCACAACAAGAACATGATATTGTGAAGTATTTGCATTTGGAAACTTTCTTTTTAACTGTCTTATATTGATAATACAAAATTGATACCTACAGCATTTAGTACTGCAGACTTCAAGAAAAACAAACAGAATATTTTCAAGTTCGCTTGTCGTTCATCGCTAAGGTGAGAACACTGAGAAGGTTCTGTTCTAACAATTCTTTCCGCCTCTCGATGTKTTTTTTTTTTTCGTCTTACATTGCCATTCTCATTTTTTCAGTCTCAAATTCCCTTTTTTCCCACTGTTATTCTTATTCAGTTACAACGAGATTGATATTTTCATGCATAGTTTCTCTTGTCCATTCACTAAAGAATATTCTTTATATATCTTTCCCTTCATTTCCCATTCATATTCTTGTTCATATTTTCCTCTTCTTTCACAACACTTTTATATTTTTAGTGTAATCTCATGCATAAAACACTTGACTTTTTTTTATATGTGTCTAATCCACAGAGAAATATTTTTTGGATATCAGATATTATAATGGTTGAACTAAATTCATCAACTCCAAATGCTACYTACACCTGCCAATATGTGATAAGTAGTTGGCACGTAGCGGTTTGTTCTACATTCAGTGCTTTAATGGCTTTGATAGCAATTATCGGGAACAGCCTCGTTCTTTTTGCTATCATCAAGACACCTCGCTTGAGATTYGTTACCAGTTACTTCATCGCATCGCTAGCTATTGGGGACCTCTACATGAACACGGTACTCGTTCCTTTATGGGTGGTCAAGCTTGAACAAAATATTTGGACTTTAGATCGTCATCCTTTGGCAGTTGCTATTGAATTTCTAAGCATACAGATGGCTACATCGGTGGCGTACAATTTATGTGTTGTCAGTATTGATCGCTTCATTTCGATCAAGTATGTTTATGAATATTCGCAAATCTTAACATCAAGGCTAGCTTTCGTAATCATTTTAGCTGTGTGGACATTTTCATTGATCTGTTCTCTTCCTCGTCTATTTTTGCATGATATCAAAGATATCTCAAGGCTCTTCGTTACTCTAGCTTTCGTTATCATATTCCTACCATACGGGGTAATTRTCTACTGCTATGTTCGAATATACAAGGTTGCTAAAATCCACGCAAATCAAATTGCTACCAATGACAGGCGACAGACKTTTGCGACAATAGAAACAGAAAGAAACAAGAAGGCTGCTGTCACTATYGGTCTAGTTATAGGCATATATTCCATCCTTGGGATACCTGTGCTTGTGGTTGCAGTAGTGGATGGCATTATAACATTCTCGGATCCATGTAAAGCCGTACGACTCCGAGTTTTCTGGATGTGGGCTTTGGCTTTAAGCTATAGTCATTCTGCTTACAACCCCTGGATTTACGCGGCTCGGAATAAACTCTATAATCGAGCTATAAAAGGAATACTAGGTGTGAAACCAAACCGTTTGTTTGCTCTTGGCAACACAGCCTCTGTCAATCAAGCATCGACGAAAAAGRAAAAACACGAGGAGAGTTTACAGACATCAATGAAAAAGGGAATGGAGCAGGAGATAGAGCAGTCGATAAAGATAGAGAATCGCAAAGAAGAAAGTATACAAACACGCCACGTAAATACAGACGACAACGACTGCAGTTCAAATTAAAGCTTTGAGTTCATGTTTTCAAGTATTTTTAACTCTTCGACGACTCATTTTTGCCATGAAATTTTCTTCAATATCCATCCAGCTATTTTCCCCTTGAGTACCATTTGTTTCTTTATCAAGCGCTTTGGGGGGAAAAAAAAACCAACATTCATAAAACAAGCGTAACAACTGTGCCAAAATTAATTAATGGATTTTTATCATTAAAGTGAAATTAAYGCGAAAAAGTAAAGTGATACATGTAGAGAGCATTATGGCAATAATAATACAGTTCACAGATAAATAATTTATTACCGATACGTATTTTGGAAAAAACGAGTAAGTACGTCTGCGCATGCTCTAAGTCCAAGTACAAATTAGTCCAAAACTTCTTCATGCTGTTGTAAAAATATGATTTTCATTTAATATGACTTTAATTTGACTTTCACAACTTTCATGACAAACCTGAACTTACGGCAAAATCCCACAACTCACAAAATGCTAGAACTTACAAAATGACAAATCTTAAAGTCAGTTTTTGAATCCATTTAAGGTACGTAGCTCCAAATAGTTTTTTCTAAGCGCGCGCGAGGTTGTGCACGAGCATGCGCAGAACAAGAACTTGATTAATTTTTATTTTGACTCGACGTCATGAATATATCGTTCGCACGCGTAATCTCGTTTTGAAATAACGCAACTAGACGGTAAAACATATAAAGCTTAAACAGTGGTCAAAATATTTAGAAATTCGAAAGCGTGAAATTTTTTCCCCAGCATTCAAGATTTCTCATTATTTGAAATTCTGTAGCAAATGAAAGGTGAGGTAACGTACTTTCGTCATTAAAAATATCTTAAAAAAACACCGTGTACAGCTTGGGTTTTTAATTTCTAAATGAAAAGGATAGCCTTCATTATAGCTGACGTAGTGTTACCATAGTAACCTTATATGTGATCAGCTCCATAAAAACGGCCTGTTGGGTATTAACGTGTAAGCCTACATTACTATGTCCTATTGATTGGAACTACCGAAAACCCTTGGGAGCCAAATAAATACGACAATTTCTTCCTCGCAAATGTTTTGAATTCTTGGAAAAAATCACTGAAACGCACGGATGCAAGGAATTTTTTCCCCGGTGTAATTTGGACAAAAGAATAATCAATATGGAACGCATGACGTCATTAAGAAACATCGACATCCCCCTCCCTAAGGCCATTTGATTAATTGAACTAATGTTGAATTTCCCTYTTCTCTCCAAATATCCCTCATCGCTGGTTGAATTCTATATTTAARATCTTCATTAAAACGCATTTGTCATAGGAAGCAAGTTCCAATGAAGTCATAAAAACACAGTGGTAGTATGAATAACATGACTCTCTCAGCAAATATACGGAGCAGTATATCCGTCTCATGCTGCTATAACGTGAAATTTTTTTTGGGGGGGGAGGGGGATTTCACGCTAAGGTGAGGTATTCCTAATAAAGTCCATACGTCGTRATAAACAGTTATAAATTGACAAGTTGACAAGGCATGTCATTATGCTGGATATTGACCCTCCTCTAACACTACCTCWTGCCACTTAAAATAAAGCTAGAAAGAAGTGAGAAAGAAAGAAAGAGAAAGAGAAAGAAAGAAAGAAAGCCAGGGTTAGTACAGATTCCTCAGTGAAGTTTCTCAAATCCTATCAACTAAAATTTCCAAAACCACATAAGCAAAAAACATAAAGTGAAATTCATGGATGAAAAACATTCAACATACAAACCAATACAAAATATGGCACTCTGCTGACCAAAAATGCCAGCGGGCATTGAATTGCAGCAGGAAATATAAACATCAGCGTTTTTAATTAATACAACGAAAAGAGTTCTTTATTTTTCAAGGTAGGACCAGGGCCACCAAAAGAAAAAAATCATAACTTTTCCATAGCCCAATGGTCAAAAAAGAAATTTTCCAAAACTTTCCAGGTCCTAGAAAAATGCATTATTGATTTCCGAAACTTTCCAATACTTTCTTAAACTTGTACGAACCCTGGAAAGAAAACTTCAGCCGCGATGCGCACGCGCAAGATAGGGTCTTATGATTCCTATCTTACTTGTTCTGTCTCTTATCATAAAGCACTTGCCATTTCTACAATATTAAATTTCTTCTTGAAGATAAGGTGCATCATGATGTTAGCATGGATGTTGGTAAAGAAACAGCAACCTTAGAAAACATATTTTAATGCACCTTTCATTAATTATTGTTTATACGACATTGGGTACAATGCATTCTTTCTTTCCTATAAAGAGCCTTT